AGCGGTTCATGCTCTGCTTGGCGTCTCTGGCCAGCACTGGCCGGCGGGACTTGGGGACCTGCCCGCAGAAGGATAACCCCAATTTGCCTTTCTCTCCAGGCTTTGAACGAGGAAATTGTGAACAGGAAGAAGAACGTGGACCAAGCCATTAGAAACGGGCAAGCTCTTCTGAAGCAAACCACAGGTACCATGAAGAGCCGGGCGCGCTCTGGCCCGTGCGGGGGGTCTGGGAAGCCCCCCATCCTCTGCAGGGTTCTCCCTCAGGTCTAATTTCCTTTCGGATGCTCCCAAAGTAGCTGGTTTGCATCCAGACCTGGATGCTGAGCCACAAGCACTCCAGCTTAGTAAATCCCAAGTACCAACCTCGCATCTTCGTGAGCGGGTGATTCCCGCCGCCGGGGTGGTGATGCTCAGCGCTGAGCAGCCCTGCAACGCGAGGGAGGGTTTTCTCATTGCATCCAGCTGCTAAATCACATGGAAAGAGGTTAAAAATACACCCAGCCCTTTCCTAATATTGCTTTCCCATACCAAGCAGTTGTTGCTGTTGCCACGTGGGTGTGAGTTTATGTTTACGAGTGGGAAGAAAGGTCGGGGCCATGCATTTCCTTCAGATGTGGTCTGCTCGAGCAGCTGTACAGACCTCTGTCCTTGTGGGAGCCGTGTAGCAGGAAGAGTGATTACGAAGAATTTGGCTTGCAGTTTCTTGTCCTCTCGGAAACAGCAGTAAAGAGCGAGCTGGAGCTTTTCTCTTGGAGCTACGACACCTTAGTTGAGAACTGAGTTCTCGTGGCTTTGGGGCTTGTGGCAAAGCCAGGCTTCGCAGCACGCTTCCGTCCTGTTCCAGGGGGGAGGAGGACGTTACGCTGGCTGGTAGAAAATGTCAGCTCTAAGAGTAGCTTCCTGGCTGTAAAAATAGGCTGCTAAGTTGTACTGACATAAAGCGAGACTGAAATTAGCTATTTAAAATGGGGCGAACAGGGCAGGTGGCTGCTTAAACCGTCTTGCAGCCCCCCCAGCCCAGCGTCATTTGCCCCTTGCGGCTCTCTCGCAGGGGAGGAGGTGTTGCTGATCCAGGAGAAGCTGGATGGGATTAAGACCCGCTATTCGGACATCACCGCTGCCAGCTCCAAGGCGCTGCGCACGCTGGAGCAGGCTCGGCAGCTGGCCACCAAGTTCCAGTCCACGCATGAGGAGCTCACCGGCTGGATGAGCAAAGTGGAGGACGAGCTGGCTTCCAGCGGGGGACGGTCCCCCGCCGGCGAGCAGATACCCCAGTTCCAGCAAAGACAAAAGGTGAGGGCTGGCAGAGCAGCACCCAGGGGACGGGGATGCGAGGGTGGGAGCCGGCGGGGGTTTGCTCGCTGTTTTGAGCGGCCAGGGAGGAGCTGGAGGGGAATGTCACCTGCAGAGCACTGAGAAGGACACGTGTCCATGGGTGCCTTCCACAGGAGCTGAAGAAGGAGGTGATGGAGCACAGGCTCGTCCTGGACACGGTGAACGAGGTGAGCCGAGCCCTCTTGGAGCTGGTTCCCTGGCGAGCCCGCGAAGGGCTGGATAAACTCGTGTCGGACACCAACGAGCGCTACAAGGTGGTCAGCGACACCATCAAGCAGAGGGTGGAAGAAATCGATGCTGCTATTCAGAGGTCTCAACAGGTAATGTGATAACCCCGCCGGAGGCTGACGGGGTTTCTCAGCAGAGTGGGAGCGAGCAGCTCGGCACCGCTCCAGCCCACGCGGCGCAATGGCGGCGGGAGGGATAGCGAGCACAGCCCGACGGGAGGGCCGGATCCCATTGGGAACACCAAGAAATGAACTGGCCCCACCAGCGGTGTGTGGCCGCGGGGCCGGTTTCTGACCCGTCCCGTCGCGTGTGGTTTGGATAGGGTAACGCTGGGGCAGCGCCGTGTTATCCCGCCTGCTGGCTTTTGCTTGCGTGGGTGAAGTAGATGGTGTAAAACCGATGACAGATGACTTTCAAGCCTCGAAAAATGTCATCCCCTGTTGTGATAGCACGGGGATTTGTTTCAGACGAATGGTCCTCAAAAAAGGCTTGTTCTGCATGGACTGGAGGCTGTGGAGGGCTGTGGATAACTGCCCTCGCTGGCTTTGAGCGCTGACTCCATGAAGCTGAGCATGCAAGCAAAATGATCGTGTAAAACAGAGGCGTCCCTTTCCCTGTGGGCAGGGAGGGTGCAGGGAAAGGGGGTTGCTCCACCGTGCTCTGCTGCGCTGAGCGCCTGTGGTGCAGCGATGCTCTGTGCCTTGGAAGCAGCTGCAGGAGCCACCCCCCCGGCGGCGGGACAGCGGCTGCCGCTCCTCTCGGAGGGGAGCGTGGAGTCAGCAACCCATGTCCACAGCAATGTCCCCTTCCCCCCCCCGCCTCTGCACACCCGGGCGAGGCATTCATCCCCCGCATCGCGCTGGGTCCCCCCATGTCTCCCGCTATCCCCAACTTGCCGTGTGCTCCATCCCTGCTGCCCATCACTAACCCGTGCTGCCTGTCCTCTCCCATGTGCCAGTACGAGCAGGCGGCCGACGCGGAGCTGGCCTGGGTGGCTGAGACCAAGCGGAAGCTGATGGCTCTGGGTCCCATCCGCCTGGAGCAGGACCAGACGACGGCTCAGCTGCAGGTGCAGAAGGTACGTGCGTGCTCGCTGCCGGGGGGGACGGGGTGGGCAGCGAGGTTTGGTTGACGGGCTGGGGTTCGGGGGGCACAGCTTTACCCTGGGGTTTGTAGCGCTGAGCCCAGAGCACCAGGAGAGATGCAGCCCTTGTCCTTGGTAAGTAAAAGGAAAAAACGAGGAAGAAAAGATTTAGAGAAATGAAGTGTTGGGCTTCCAAAGGAAGAAGCCTCCTGTCCATTTGCAGGAGCTGAAACCTTTGCATGCCCGTTTGGGGCTGGATGGGTGCTCTTGCCTGGACTGCCCCGGAGAGAGCTGCTCCTTCCGAAGGCTTTCCCCGCGGCCGTGGGAGCAAGCTCTGCCCAGGTCTTGCAGGCGCTGGCGGCGGGAAGGGTTTAGAGAAATGTATATATTGATTAATGAGGGTGCTTTTACAGTTGCTTTTTGCTCATTGTTCCTTGCAGTGGGGGACTCCTCATTTCCCTCCCGGCAGCCAGACGTGGAACAAAGAGACGCTGGGGGTTTTTTTTATATCTTTGAGATGAGCTCATGCCTGAAAGAACGCGCACTTTAAATAAACGGCCCTTTTCTTCCCTTACCAGCCTCGGCAATCAGAGCAGTGTACAGGCTTATTGGATTTAAAAAAAAAAAAAAAAAGAAAAATAAGACGTTGTTATAAGGGAGGGGGACTGAACTGCCAAGCATTAAGTTAAATTGAGCTCAGCTTGGCTTCCCGCTGTTAATCACATGGACCTTGGGAATGGCAAAATTATTGGTAGATGCCGTTGTAGAGAGCATCGTTTCGGGGGGTTAACGTGTTCGCTAAGGAATGGATGGGGGCGCTTCTCCTCCGGTGAAGACTCTGGGTGTGGAGGTTGACTGACACCTCCTTTCCAGAGCTGTTTTCAGGCCTTTGAAAGAGAGAGGTTGATGTAGAAGAGTCATGAGAAAAACATGCAGTAATCTGCATTTTCAGCCAGATTTTCAGTGTGCCGCAGGACACTTGTGCTGAGTTTTGTGTGGTCTCTGCTGCCTGCTACAGCTGGTGCAGGCAGGAGGGTCCCGTGGATGGGCTGGGGGGAGAGGTTGGGCTCGGCTCTGATTTCTTTTCCTTTCTTTGGACGTTTCCTTTCTGCAGGCTTTTTCCATCGACATTATTCGGCACAAAGACTCCATGGATGAACTGTTCAGCCAGCGCAATGAGATCTTTGGGACGTGCGGGGAGGAACAAAAAGCCGTTCTCCAGGTGAGCCTCCCTCTGCCGTTTACCGCAACGGGGGAGACAGAGAGGGGAGAGAGGCGAACGCTCAGCTCTCGAACAGGCTGAAGTAGTTTAAAATTACTCCATCTTTAGTAATTCCCACCAGCGTTAGCAAAAATCTCTTTACATTTATTACTCCCCTTTATTGCATATTTTTATTGCGGTGTTTAGGGATGGGGGGGGGGGGACAGCGGAGATTTCTGAGGCTGCTTTAATTGGAATTACAGCTCGCGCGGATGGAAGGCCACCAAAGGCACCTCCTGCTCTTCCAGCTCGCAGCGTGCAGCTGGCGCTGTCCCTGGGACCTTTTGCATCCCTCGCTATAACTCTCCTCCCTCTTTTTTTTTTAGGAGAAAACCGAGTCCCTGGTGCAACAGTACGAAGCCGTGAGCCAGCTCAACTCGGAGCGCTACGCTCGCTTGGAGCGCGCCCAGGTCCTGGTCAACCAGTTCTGGGAGACCTACGAGGAGCTGAACCCTTGGATCGAGGAGACGCAAGCCCTCATCTCCCAGCTGCCCCCTCCGGCCATCGATCACGAGCAGCTGAAGCAGCAGCAGGAGGACATGAGGGTAAGAGGACACGGCATTTGCATCTCCTGCGCCGTCGGTTCTTCTACCTTAAACAGAGGTGCAGCGCTTGCAGGGGCGAGAGAGCCTTTTTTTCTGAATTTTTCTGTTTTTTTTTTTCCCCATTCTCTTCTTTTTGGGGCTCCTGCCTATGCAATACAAGTGTGCCGTGAGCGTACCATGTGGAAATCACTAGTTATGTTGGAGCCCTTCTTACTGAAATACAGATTGCGCCCAAGGGAGCCTGGCTGCCTTCGAATCTCCTGCCTGATTGTGGCAGGGAAAACCGCTTTGTGCTTTTAGGGTAGAGAGCTGCAAAGTGTGTTTTTTCAGTGGTGTCCCCCGTGGGGCTGTGGGGAGGGTCAGGAGCCGGCTGTGCGGGGGAAGGACCCGTGCCGGGCGGCGTGCCGGCGCGTGCAGAGCCGTGGCCATGTTAGGAAGAGCCGAGTGCCATGTGCTTGGCAGATGCTGGGTCGAGACATCCACGGTGTGAGTTCACTACCAGATACGATCGCTGCTCCTGGAGTGTTGCGTGAAATAAATAGGCAGAGGCTTTCAATAGATTTCTAAACAAATGTCTTTTTTTTTTCCCCCTATTCCCTAGCAACTGAGAGAGTCCATTGCTGAACATAAGCCTCATATTGACAAGCTGCTGAAAATCGGACCGCAGCTCAAGGACCTCAACCCCGAGGAAGGGGAGATGGTGCAGAAAAAATACTCGACGGCTGAGGCCATGTATGCCAAAATCAAGGAGGAGGTGTGCCAGCGGGCTCTCGCGCTCGACGAAGCCGTCTCGCAGTCCACCCAGGTACGCTGGGGTGCCAAGGAGCCGAGTCGTCTTATCGCGGTCCCCTGGGGAAGCCATGTGCTCTGAGACGCGGTTTTATTCTGAGTGTTAGGATCATAAAACCCTTTATAAGGCACAACGTGGTCAGGCACCTCCAGGGTCGCTTCCCGCTGCTCAGCACTGGCTGCGAAAGCAGGGAAGGAGGCGTTTGAATCTTCACATAGTAAATAGGGTAATAAATTTTTACAGCCTCAATAATGATGCTGGTTCAAAGGGGCTGTTTTGGCATCCACCCAAGGTTGGAAGGGCCCAGAGAACCTCTTTAAAGGGCTTGGAGAGATAAGTTTCATTTCTGATAAGCTGCGTGCAGCGAATGGCCATGGGACCCTTTGTATGGGAGAGTTAACGGTCATCTCCAGGGCCTGGGCATCTCCGGGGAAGGTCCGCGACCGCAGGAGCAGAGATAGGAAAGGCAGGGCAGAGACTGTGGATGCTAAAGTCCAGAAAGGGGGTGAAGCGTTTCTGCTGCTGAGGGTTTATGACCCCGTTATGTTTCATTTCACCCCGTGTTACCGTAGCACAGTTGGTTTTTGTCATGTCTGGGTGTTTTATTTTTTTTATTCCTGTATTGTGTAGTCACTTCTCTTGGTTTGCACTTGTATTAACTCCGAGTTTTTCCCCCCACACCCCCCTCCCGTCTCATCTCTCACTCCCATTGTGGAATGTGTTATCTGTGTGTGTTGCTGCCTGTGCCCGTCCTCCCCACATGGTCCCATTTCATTCTTGTGTTGACTGCGCCCCACCATTGCAGATTACGGAGGTAAGCCCCACCGCCACAGATGTTCATTTACACCCCCCCCCGCCACAGATGTTCATTTACCCTCTTTCTTTGGGCTGATTCTATTTCACACCCAGATTTTTATTTCTGGTCCGTGCACCGCTCGGCAGAACGTGCTTAAAAATTAACTCCGGGGGCCTGAAGTCACATTTCTGAGATGGCTTTCGTTGCATTGCCGCCTGGTCTCAGCCGTGGCCAGCTTCTGCCGGGAATGCTTCCTGCAAAGCAGAGGTGTTGCTTTCAGAGCAGTTTACCCTGATGCGTGGAGCTTTCTGCTCTAGCTGGACTTGCCGGTTTGCTCCTGCTTCTTGGCTGAGCCGGCGTGCCCCTGATCAGCTTTGCACCGAGAGCCCGTCTCCTCTCTGCCGATAGAGCCTGGGACTTGGCGAACACCAGCACCGGTGTCCTGCAGAGAGGGACCAGAGCTGGCAGCCAGAGCACAGAGCTGTCCCCCTCACCAGCAGAGACGATTTGGGATCTTTAAGGCCAAAGTTGACTTTTTTAAAAAAAAAAAAAAAAAAAAAAAATTATAATAATAAGCCGTGCTAGACCCCTTCCTCTCTCACTCTTGGCTTTCTGGTTCTGCTTTTGTGGAAGGCCCAGCTCTGTGGCAGCTCCCTGCTCCCTGTGTGCATGCATCTCCCGCTGACCCTGGTGGTTTTCTTGCTGGCGTTGCACTGAGCGGAGATTCCCATCGGCACCAACCACGGGCGCTTTCCCGGCAGCGTCTTTGCGCGGGTGCTCAAGCAAATGGGGCTGGGTTTTCTTGCCACGCTGCTCATCTGCAAGAAGCGGGGCGGCAGTCAGAAATGTGAATTTTGTAGGGTTGAATCTGGTGACAAATCGCTGCCGTGTTTGGTTTGCAGTTGCCTGTGCCGGCTCTGTGAGTCTGTATGGCTGCTGTATGGTTTGAGCTGGTGCAGCCTGGGGCTGTTGGCAGCAGAGGAAAGCAGAGGCAGGCGTGAACAGGAGGCTGCAGGTTTAATTGCTGTTGCAGGCAATGTTTGTCCTCTCCGAGAGGCCGCTGGGTGCAGCGCTTAGGGCTGTTGCACACGCAGGGAGCAATGCAGCGTTGCTTAATCTCATCTCGCCTGCCCTGATGGACTTGCTCTTCTCCAGTTCCACGATAAGATCGAGCCCATGCTGGAGACGCTGGAGACCCTCTCCTCCCGCCTGCGCATGCCGCCCCTCATCCCCGCCGAGGTCGATAAGATCCGGGAGTGCATCAGCGAGAACAAAAACGCCACCGTGGAGCTGGAGAAGCTGCAGCCCTCCTTCGAGGCTCTGAAACGCCGCGGGGAAGAGCTGATCGGCCGATCACAGGGAACAGACAAGGACCTGGCAGCAAAAGGTATCTCGGGGTGGATTTAACAGGAGGTGCTGGCTGGGCTGGTAGCAGTACCCAGCTTCTCCTACCCAAACGATGGCTCCATCAGCGTGGGGGAGGCTTTGATGTCCCAGGGGTGTTTCAGAGGGTCTCCTGGCCTTAGGAGGAAGGATGAGACCTCTGCACGCAGATACCTGGTGCCTGCTTCCATCTGGAGCAGACAGGGTGGTATCAACCAGAGGAGAAAGAAGTATTTGTGGCTGCTCAGGCAGAGGTTTGAGCTCAGCCGAGCTGAGCCGTCACCCTGAGCTGGTCTCTTGTGGCAACCGTTGGTGGCCCCGGTGAAATGATTTGTTGGTGTCGATTCAGCATCTAATGGAGGGAAGGAACATCCCCAGCACAAAAAGACCTGTCAACGCGATTGGCACTAATTGGCACCTTTCTTGGCAGCTCAACACTCAGCTCATGGACTGAGTGAGCGTAGACTTCACGCTAGAGGTGGCCAGAACAGAGCTTCGTTGGAGGAGAGTGTGTGGGCAAATTTGCCCTCAGCTTGCCTGCACTTAAATAAAGGCTTTATTTCTGCAAGCTGGAGTTTCTCATGTCCCTCAGTATCTCTGAGTTCATGCTCTGCTAGTCCTGGTCATCTTTAATTCCCATTTGAATATTCTTTTGGCTGTGTCTGAGTGGAAAGTGTTTGCAAAATGTTTTTGAGTTGCAGAAGGGTTTCCTTCTTCACTGAATGTTTTCATTCCCTTCCTCAGTCATCCAGGATAAGTTGGATCAGATGGTCTTCTTCTGGGAAGATATCAAAGCTCGGGCGGAGGAACGTGAAATGAAGTTCCTTGATGTGCTGGAGCTTGCAGAGAAGTTCTGGTACGACATGGCAGCCCTCCTGACTACCATCAAAGACACGCAGGACATCGTTCACGACCTGGAGAGCCCAGGCATTGACCCCTCCATCATCAAGCAGCAGGTGGAAGCGGCAGAGGTGAGGACCACGGGGCCGTACCCCTGTATGGAACTTGCCTGCACCCAGCTTGTAAGCTAAACTGGGGTAGATCTTAGATATGAGCATGGCCAGAAGTGGCCGTAAAACAGTTTTGTAGGCAGGCGGTCGGATTACGAAATGTTATTTCCATTGCAGTTTGGAACTGCAAGGAAAAAAACAGAAGTGGATTTCACATATCCCTCCCCACCACCACCGCCCCCTGCTCCAGACAAGGAAATGATGCTTAAATCACTTTATCTGCTACTGTTTTGGGAAGCTTCTCCAGCGTGTGGTCAGAGTTGTGTGCCCACTTGTTTTGAGTGATGTGGAAGTTTGCACGGTTCTGCTCCTCGTCTGAGTCGAAGCCATCTGAGTGCTGTCTAGCGTGGGAAGTGTATATTTAGATTTTGGTTAGACCGGAGGTAATTGTAAAGCTGGATGGGCTTGGATTTGTGTGGTGGTGGTTGGTTGTTTCAAATAAGTGGTGAAATCCACTTCAGGTGGATTTGACTTGGCTTGGACCTTGGGGAGCAGGGATGTTTCTTTATGCTTTGGTAAGTTGGTCCTTGCTATTTCCCTTTTATATCCAGTCCGACTTTGGTTTGAGACTCAAAAGTTGCAAAAACTGATTCCTGTATTGACAAAATACTCCTGTAAACAGTACATCTCTCGTAAACAACATCTTCAGCCAGGCGGGTCAGGCACACGTCAAGCTAAATACAGATGTCCTTATTTTAGTTCACCCAGCCCCTGCGTGCAGCAGCGTTGCCGCCGTGGCCAGGGGTGGGAGCGGACCAGGCCGGCGGTGGCGATGCTGGCGAGCAGAACAGCCATCTGCTCGCAGCGTAACCTCGTCCTGGGCGCCGGTGGCCCGGCTGCAGGACACCGGAGCAGGAAGGACTCTCTGTGCTTCAGCCCTCCTGTTCATGGGGCAATTTTGGAAGAGCATTTAATAATAAACATTTTTCTTTCGTCACTGTTGTTATATGCAGACTATTAAAGAGGAGACGGATGGCTTGCATGAAGAGCTGGAGTTCATCCGACTCCTTGGAACTGATTTAATTTTTGCCTGTGGCGAAACTGAGAAGCCAGAAGTGAAGAAGAGCATTGATGAGGTAGGAAAACCAGGAGGCTCGCCTTCAGATAACATCAGGTAGGAGCAAGCAGGAGCTCTGGTCGAAGAGCCTAACGAATTTTGTGGGCAATCTTGTGTTCCGCAGATGAACAACGCGTGGGAAAATCTAAACAAAACGTGGAAGGAGAGGCTTGAAAAGCTTGAAGAAGCCATGCAGTCGGCTGTGCAATACCAAGATACGCTTCAAGTAAGAGGCAGGGCTGTTTGTGTGGGGCGGGTAGACCTTGGGAACACCACTGCGGGTCCTCTCCCTGCAGTTGTACTGGGATTTGCACTAATGCAAAGCAGGGAAATGTCTCCTGGGTGAGTGTTTGCAGCCTGCGATAGAGCCTGAGCTCAACAACCAGCTCCAAGGAAGAGCAGATACCTGACGGCGTTTGTCTTCCCAAATCTCTCTTCATTTCTGCACGAAGCAGCAGGATGAGCCTGGCTGTCGTCAGGTCCTTATGTCGGAAGCAGGAGAGGGGAGGAAGGAGCTTGCAAAAGCGTGTGTTGGCCAAGCAGGCATCTCTGCCCCGAAAGACAAGTGTCAGGGTTGCGGGGCGATGGAAGCAGCAGCCGCGTTTCCCCCGCCAGCTGCGGGGGGAGCGTGCTTTGCCATTCCCTTTGCTAACGGTGTCTGCGCTCCTTGCAGGCCATGTTCGACTGGCTGGATAACGCCGTGATCAAACTCTGCAACATGTCTCCTGTCGGCACTGACCTCAACACGGTTAAGGAGCAAATGAACGAGATGAAGGTACACGGGCGGAGTGGGACCGGTTCTCCGGGGCTTGCTTTGCATCGCAGAGCTCGCGCTCCAGTGATTCATTTTGTTCTGGTTTTTGTCCTGCTTGTTTTGGCAGGAGTTTAAAATGGAGGTTTACCAGCAGCAGATTGAGATGGAAAAGCTTAATCACCAAGGTGAACTGATGCTAAAAAAAGCTACAGATGAGACAGACAGAGACATCATAAAGGAACCACTGACAGAGCTGAAACATCTCTGGGAGAATTTGGGCGAGAAAATTGCTCACAGACAGGTAGAGAAGACCTGGCCTCTCGCAAGTGCAGGGCTGAAACTCGCTGGGATGCTCCCCCTCCTTCCCAACTTAAACTTTCCTTCTCCATCCCTGTCCTTGCCCAGCATAAGTTAGAAGCCGCTCTCCTGGCGCTCGGCCAGTTCCAGCACGCGTTGGCGGAGCTGATGGCCTGGCTGACCCACACCGAGGAGCTGCTCGACGCACAAAAACCCATCAATGGAGACCCAAAAATCATCGAGGTTGAACTCGCAAAGCACCATGTGAGTACTCCCACTCCAGGTCCATTTTTAGTCTATTCCCGTTGCAGGAGTTGGTTTCTCGTGAAGGGTTTGAGTTGGTTTGAGTCCATGAGAGCATGCAGGAATTGCTAATTTAGAGAGGGGGTTTAGAGAGGTGTCCAACGTTTGCCCACCACGTCTCACCTAGGTGCTGAAGAACGACGTCCTGGCCCACCAAGCGACCGTGGAGACGGTGAACAAAGCGGGCAACGAGCTGCTGGAGTCGAGCGCAGGGGACGATGCGAGCAGCCTGCGAAACCGCCTGGAGAAGCTGAACTCGTGCTGGGAGTCGGTGCTGCAGAAGACGGAGGAGAGGGAGCAGCAGCTGCAGTCCACGCTCCAGCAGGTCGGGGAGACGCGTCAGGGGTCCCCCCCGTGCAGTGGATTGCTGCTGAGGGTCCGCTTCCCCCTTCGCTTCCAAGGGGAAAGGAGTTGGGGAGACACTGGGATTATTTTCTGCAAGTTTTTCATTTAACTCTTAGTCCTGGAGTGGTTCTGTGCCTGCCCAGAAGCACGGCAGGACCAGGCACACCCTCGTGGCTAAGGACGTACCATGTATAACCCTCCTTAACGCTCTGGCGCATCCAGCTCTGCCTCTTTATCTGGTTTCGAAGCAAACACAGCGTTAACCCTGGCATATGATCAATGGGGGCTGATGTCATCTGATCCGTGGCCGATTATATGTTCCCGAACAGGCCCAGGGTTTCCATGGTGAGATTGAAGACTTCCTCCTGTGGCTAACGAGGATGGAGAGCCAATTGTCGGCATCAAAACCCACAGGAGGTCTGCCAGAAACTGCCCGGGAGCAGCTCAATGCCCACATGGTAATTTCTTAGGAGAGATTTTTAATGCTTTTAATTCAGCAAGCTCCTGTCTGTCAAATATCAGCATCAAAACTTCTCCCTTCGGTACCTGATGGGAAGAAGTGTGCTTCTCTGGTCTCCTCTTGCAGATAATTTTGCACTTGGTGCCTGGGACAAGCATCACGATGCTTTAACCACCTTTCTCTGCTCAAAGTGACGCTCTTACTGCTGTCACTTTGCTGCCTGCCCTGAACCTAATTTTCCCGTCACCCTGAGTCGCAGCGAGCCGTGGCCCCTCTCCGAGCTCTCCCTTTGTCTAACGCTTGGGTGCTGCCTGCCTTGCAGGAGCTGTACGGCCAGCTGAAAGCCAAGGAGGACGTCTACAGTCAGCTGCTGGCCTAGGGGCGACTGATGCTGCTGAACCGCGACGACTCCGGCTCTGGCTCAAAGACGGAGCAGAGCGTAGCGCTGCTGGAGCAGAAATGGTGTCTGGTCAGCACCAAGATGGAGGAGAGAAAGGTAGCGTTGGCGTCCACCCTTGCCCCGTGAGCTGGTCTGATGGTTGCTCCCTGCTTTGCTGCTCTGCTTTCCCCGGAGGGATGGAGCCGGTCAGGGCTGGAGAGGAGGGCTGGGGTATTTGGTTTTTTTTTATAGACAAGCTCTCTCTTGGTTGCGCAGGTTGAGTTTGTCTTTCAGGTGGTGCTGTCTGAGCGTCAAGCTGTTATTTTATTTTTTTTCTAGGTAGTCATCAGAGTTGGTTAAATCACACAGAAAATGAGGGTAAAATTGCATTTTGGGTTAATTTAGGGGAGAGGTGGGAAGAAATCTCCCGCGGCTCTGAAAGGCAGGCTTTGTTGGTCCTCTGTGAGACAGCAGGCCAAATCCTCCTCCGAGCTGACTCCATCCTAGGCTTTTGGCCGGTGATGAGATAAAACAAGGGACACGGTGGCCTCAGCCCAGAATAAATTTGCAGTGCTGCAGCTGTTACCATCAAAATATCATCCACCTCATTTACCGAGCCGCTCTCCCCACGGCGATCCCTTTCTCAGGAAGCTGAGGGTGACGCAGCTGCTCGTGTGCTGATGAAGGTCTCCCCTTTCAGGGCCGATTCTTGTTTTGAAAGAAAGCGGTGGCTTTCACCGAAACCCCCTCCCCTTGGTAAACAAGTCGCGTTCCCAGGCCAAGGCGATGAGGTTCCTGTTAGAGGGACGTTTCGGCGGGGACACAAAGGCCGCCTCTGTCTGCGAAACCTCAGATCGTGAGCTCTCACCCTCCGTGTTGTGTTTTTTTTCCCCCTCCCTTTCTGCCTCCCCACTGCGGCAGGCGAAGCTGGAGGAGGCACTGGCCCTGGCCACGGACTTCCAGAACTCCCTCCAGGACTTCATCAACTGGCTGACGCTGGCCGAGCAGAGCCTGAACATCGCGCCCCCGGCCAGCCTCATCCTCAACGCCGTGCTGGCCCAGATCGACGAGCACAAGGTACCAGCGCCATGAGCACCCAACGGCTCCCTGGGATGGAGGGAGCAAGGGTGGCACCTCATCTCCCCTGCGCCCCCGGGCTGCTCGCAGGCACGTCCAGCTCCCTTAAGGATAAGAGGACATCTTTGCCATTTGCAGGTGTTCGCCAACGAGGTGAACGCTCATCGGGATCGGATCATCGAGCTGGATCAAACCGGCAACCAGCTGAAGTTTCTCAGTCAAAAGCAGGATGTGGTGTTGATCAAGAACCTGCTGGTGAGCGTCCAGTCCCGCTGGGAGAAGGTCGTCCAGCGCTCAGTGGAGCGGGGACGGGCTCTTGATGATGCTAGGAAGCGAGCCAAGCAGGTGAGAAACACGGGAAGGGTGCGGCAGACCCTAAAGTATGTCCAGCCTTGGGGAAGAGGAGGTCCCAAGACCAGAAAGGGACTGGGGACACCACCAGGGTTAAGTTTCAGACTTGCTCCTGTTTCTCTGCAGTTCCATGAAGCTTGGAAGAAACTGGTTGATTGGCTGGAGGACGCAGAGAATCACCTGGACTCGGAGCTGGAGATTTCCAATGATCCTGACAAAATCAAGCTCCAGCTCTCCAAACACAAGGTAGAGCTTCGCCAAAGCGAGACCGGCGCTGGACGCTGGGCGGAAGGGTGCTTTGTGGGGAGGGGGAGCAGGGCAGCATCTCCTCTGCCGTCAGGACAGGAGAAGGGCACGTCCATGCTTACTGCTGCCATGGAAAGTTGTTCATCTGGGGATCTTCACAAGCACCGTGTACCTTCAGAAAGGCAAGGCCAGGCTCTCTGAAACGGTTTTGTTTTCTCTCCGGTTCCCAGGAGTTCCAGAAGACGCTGGGCGGGAAGCAGCCCGTCTACGACACCACCATCAGGACGGGCAGAGCCCTCAAAGAAAAAGCCTTGCTTCCAGATGACACTCAAAAGCTGGACAATTTACTGGGAGAAGTCCGGGATAAGTGGGACACAGTGTGCGGGAAATCTGTGGAAAGGTAAATCCAGTCCCAACATTGCACCAAGAGCACTTGTTTGCCGAGGAGTCGTCAAAGTGGAGAGCAGAGGAGGGGAGGCGATTTCATGGGGTGGTTGGAGGAGGTCACTGGGACATGACAAACGGAGGTGAGTTTGTTCGTGGAAGTTCACGGGGGTGTTTGTTTTTCAGGCAGCACAAGCTGGAAGAAGCCCTCTTGTTCTCTGGTCAGTTCATGGATGCGCTGCAGGCCTTGGTGGACTGGCTCTACAAGGTGGAACCCCAGTTGGCTGAAGACCAGCCTGTCCACGGTGACCTGGATCTGGTCATGAACCTGATGGATGCTCACAAGGTGAGAGCACCTTTCCCAGCTCTTCTCTGGGACACGAGTAGGCCTTGTCTTCCCCAAGAGCCAAAGAATGGAGGAACCAGAGCTGGTGCCTTGCTGCAGAGCTGCCTGTCCCGCTGCTTTGCTTTGCTGTGGTGGACAAGGAGGGCAAAACCAGGGCGAACAAGTGGGAAGAAACTTTTACGTAGGTTACAGGAGCTGGAGCTGTTCTTCTGAGATGCTATCAGTCAGGTCTGTGGAGGGTTCAGTTTTGAAAAGGTGGCTGAATTTATAGTCCTCTATAAACTTTGGTCTTGGCAGTTCTCTCCAGTGTGTCTTGGAGACTGGCGCTCCTGGGTTTGGGTTAGGTCATATGCTGAAATCCCCGGACAGGGCTTGGGCAACCGTTCGGGGCAGCCATTGCATTGCAGCCGGAGCTACTGGGCTAGAGCTTGCCTGCTCCAAGTCACGAGTGCTTCTGCCAGGGTGGAAAGTTGGGGCTCCTGCCCATGTACTTAACGCTGAAACACGCTCAGGAGCTGCCTGCGCTGTCGGGCTCCCTGCCTGCCTGCCCTCCCATCACACCGGGTCGTGGTGGATCCCTGATGTGGGTGCAAAACCCATGTTACGAACTATGTCAGATGTGCTCCCTGGTTTATTCCCCATGTGAAACAACTCGCTGGGACTGACTGGCTCCACTTGGCTTCTGCTCTTTCTCCATCCAGGTTTTCCAGAAGGAGCTGGGGAAGCGCACGGGGACGGTCCAGGTGCTCAAGCGCTCTGGCCGGGAGCTCATCGAGAACAGCCGGGACGACACGACCTGGGTGAAGGTGCAGCTGCAGGAGCTGAGCAACCGGTGGGACACGGTGTGCAAGCTGTCCGTGTCCAAACAAACCCGTCTGGAACAGGCCTTGAAGCAGGTGAGCAGAAGGCTACGGGTGGAAATGGTCCTGGAGAGCTTTGCCTGGGCTGCAGGTTTGTGCCGGGAGGTCAACACAAACCTCGGAAAAGACGTTTTGCTCAGTGACTGATCTCCTGGCCGAGCAGGACACCCCAGCCCTGCAGCAGTTACCAGTGAGACCTGCAAAGCGGCGGGTTGGTGTCAGTTATTTACTTTATTCTTTTCCCCAAAGAAGAGCCGATAAAGGCTGATTTGAAAAGGGAGGATGAAAAGATCTCACCGACGTGCACGGCAGGAATAGAGCGGTGATCAGAGACTGCCCAGGCTGGCGTTTGCTAATGTCCGGTGCAAGACACAGACCTAGATTGAAGCTAAAAAAACCCAAAAAAGTCAAAGGCTCTTAAATAGTTTTTCTGTCAAGTAGGCAATTTACAGAATAAACTGCCCAGGTGTCAAATTGGTCAGAATACAGGGAGCTGTGCTGTTTTTAAAAACATTTAGTTCTTCAGCGCAGCTGATGCTGGGGGGAGGGAGGTGCCCAGCCGCTGCGGGACCCATCTGCTGGTGCTGCACAAACCCAGGCCCACAGACAGGGCTTTTTTCCCCTTTTTTCTTTTGTTTTTCAAACCCCTTTCAGCCCTTTGTCTCTCCAGCTCTCAGCAGCGAATTGAGCGGCCCGTTTTGGGAGAAGGAGGGCTGACGCCTGTGCTTTTGTCGCCACAGGCAGAGGAGTTCAGGACGGCTGTGCACGTGCTGCTGGAGTGGCTCTCGGAGGCAGAGCAGTCCCTGCGCTTTCGGGGAGCGCTGCCCGACGACGCCGAGGCGTTGCAGTCCCTCATTGACACACACAAGGTAGCGGGGAGCTCTCAAAGACAACCCGAGCAGAATTGATGGGGGAGAATATGGCAAAATAATTCATTTGGGCCTTTCAGGAGTTCATGAAGAAAGTGGAGGAGAAGAGAGTGGACATGAACGCGGCGGTGTGCATGGGGGAGGTCATCCTGGCCGCCTGCCATCCCGACTGCATCACCACGATCAAACACTGGATCACCATCATCCGAGCCAGGTTCGAGGAGGTGAGTCCACGAGGCTTTGTTCCAGGCCGGTGGTGAGAGGCGGCGGTGGACACCACCACCAGGCGTGGCCGTGTGGTGTTGGTTCCTGCCCCTGGTTTCCCACCCTGGGCTAATGGTTGCCTCTGCATTTCCGACAGGTTCTCACGTGGGCGAAGCAGCACCAGCAGAGACTGGAGTCTGCGCTTTCCGAGCTGGTGGCAAATGCAGAGCTTCTAGAAGAGCTCCTGGCTTGGATCCAGTGGGCTGAGACAACCCTGATGCAGCGGGACCAGGAGCCCATGCCGCAAAATATCGATCAGGTCAAAGCCCTCATCTCCGAACACCAGGTGAGCCCAGTGCCGAACACGGCGGACACTGGGGAGAGGGGCAGGGCCTTCCCGCCCCTCCACGGAGGAGGCATCGACTTCTCCTGGAAGTCCCTACTAAAACAGCGTGTGACCCAACTGGAGCTGTCACCTGGGAGCAAAGCCAGCCCAGGGGACGAGCTCCAGCGTTTGCAGATCCAAGCCAGCGCTGTGCAATAGCTTGACGACAAGCCCCCATTGCCAGTGCTTAATGCTCCCGTCTCCTCTGGGGGCTTGGCACGTCCCAGCGAGGATCTGGGGCAACAGGAGATTGAAAACATCTTGAAACTGCAAAGGTTCTCTTGTCCCTTCTGTATTTTGACAGTCCTTTATGGAGGAGATGACACGGAAACAGCCAGACGTGGACCGGGTCACGAAGACGTACAAGAGGAAAGCTACTGAGCCCCCCCACGGGCCTTTCATCGAGAAGTCGCGCAGCAACAGTACGTCTCCGCTCGATTCACGGCTTTCGGTGAAACGTGCTACGATGGGAGGAAATGAAACGCATAGGAAACTAATTAACTTTGATTATCAATTAACAAGGCATCCTGCATTGACAGCCACCAGGAAGGCGGTTGAAACTTGTCAGGAGGGGAAAATCCAGGTGGCATTTACCAAAACGCCCGTCCCGGGGTTCTCTTCTCTTTCTCTCTGCTTTTGCTTTGTGATGAGGTTTTGGGGTCTTTTTACACGTTGTTTCTTGAAACTGGAGTCTGTTGTGAGTTCCCAAGTGCAAAGGGAGCTCCGCGGTGGTTGGGTGTAGAGCCGTCCGTCGCCCTGCCCTCGTACCTGGGGACGCTGCGTCCCCCCAGAGAGCAGCCAGCGAGGCCGGGGGAGGTTTTCTATTTGAAAAATGAAATACTTTTCATTGCTGCCCTTTCCTGAACCTACGCCTCG